TCAGAACCCGAACGGAGCAGGAAGCAATTAAATTTTGACACATACCAGCACCAGCAATTACAACTTTTAAAGGCTTTGCTGGACGAGGAGCACTACGGAAAGATGCAGATAAACTTGCAGCTTCCAAGAAATTCACAGTGTCCTCTAGCTCTGGCCTTGGAATATCCACACAAACTACCTAGGCACAGGAAAAAACTTATTCTTCTATCATAAAAACATTAACAATTAGATAAAAAAAAAATCGAGGATTTAAGTAAGAAACCAGACGGGCACCTGCAAAGGACCAGCACTCCTCCTCCTTGTTCTTGTCTTAATTGTTTGTGAAGAAGTCGGAATTCTGAAGCTATGTCCCATTAATTCACAACCTCCAGATGAAATTGACTCCAAAAACCCACTTTGATAAGGCAAATTCGCCGCAGAAACATTCCCAAACACAACCATTTTTTTTTCACAACCTTGATTTCACAACTCCTTCAAGGGAATCTGAAAGTCATAAAAGAAGAGAATATACAAAAACCCAAAAAGACGAAAATGAGTATCTGAGAGTTGTAGGGGAAAAGCGATAGCAGCAATTACGACAAAAGTTTGTGTCTGACCACACTCAATTTGACAAGAAGAAGAACAAAAAAGCGTACTTGATTTTAAAGGGTAACAGTTTCCCAGTATCTCACAAAGCGAGCGACTCTGAAGAAGCAGGAGACACAGGAAGAAGAAGCAAAAGAAGAAGAGAGCAGGCCTAGTGGAAGTAGCCGATAACAAAATGGAGGCCTTGAGTGCCCATATTGTCTTGGTTGGTTTTCAGACCACGCTTTTTGGTGACGAAAAAGAGATTAGATTACCATATAAATTAATTAAAAATTAGGTGAGGACTATAAAAAAACCGATTACAATTTTTTTTATAATGGTGAAAAGTTTATAACTTTATGTAAACTTCTTTTTTTTTTTTGTATCACAATAAAATATTATACTTAGTACAAATCCGCTATGGTGAATTTTCAACATCTAACCAGAGAGGCACTGATGTGCTCACATAAAAGAAAACACGATTCTGTGTGCGAGCACTTCTAGCAAGGAAGTTTGCTTATCGATTTCTGGTTCTCGGCTCAAAAACAATATTGACATCATGGGCGAAACCCACCCAGATCCTCGAGTTCGAGCAGCTCCATTACAAATGTGGGCCATTCTTTTGGATTAGTAATCATTTGTATTAATTCCTTGGAATCAGTAGCAAAATAGTTACAATACTTATTGTGGCTATTTAAACATTTGAATGCCCAAATCAGGCTGAAGAGCTCCATGTGGAGAGGAGAAATGCCTCGACGAGTCCCTTGAAGACCTAGGAGGTCTATGGAGCCATCTTGAAGTTGTATAATCCAACCCACCCCGTTTGTGAGACTATCTCCTTTCCAAAATCCATCTATTTTACATATGAAAACCGGTGGATCAATAATTACATGGCCAATATCTTCCATTGGAGGATCAACAGGATATGTAACTTGGTTAGCTGAAAACCATGCTTTACTTTCTCGAAGAGCGAGATCAAGTGTTTCCGATGGAAGTCGGTCCTGTCCATTGTACAACTTGTCATTGCGGACTTTCCAAATGTACCAGACAATCCAAGGGAAAACTCTAATGGACTCTATTATGCTCTCCCGATTGAGAATTCTGGATAATAGGTAATCCACATTCTCGAACAGATTTTGTGACGGAAACACCTTTGTCGCTGAGGGAATCGATGAAAGGGCCCAACACTGAAGAGCTTGTGGACATAGGAATATATTATGGTTAATCGTTTCTTCCGCCTCTCCACATCTAGGGCAACTAGGATCATTTCCTAGATGTCTTATGGCTAGGCGTTCGTTCACCGTCACCGCACCTAATAGCATTTGCTATAGGAAATGACACATCTTCTTTGGTGCTTTAAGCTTCCATATTTTCTCGTTAAGGGGGTTTAGCAAAGGTTGTTGGCAGAAGAAAGTTGTTTCTTCGTCTAGTTCCGGCGCTAATGTGTAACCCGATCTTACAGAGTATGCTCCCGTTTTTGAGAGATTCCAGCAGTATCCATCTTCTTTAGGCGTGTGACTAATGTGGATACTGAGTATCAACGGTATATCTCGAGGGTCTATGATATCCCGAATGAGATGAATATCCCATGTTTTGTGTCTGGGTTAATGAGGTCTGAGACTAGTAAGTGAGGGTCATTCATTCCTGGAACACTTTTCGGTGGCCAAGCTAATGTGTCAGGTAACCACGGATCATCCCAAACTAAGGTTTGGGTTCCCGTACCAATAGTACGACGTGCACCCTTCAGAACTAGGTTTTTGGCCGCACACATACTTCTCCAGCCATATGAAGGCCTAGAGGCTTTGGGAGCTTTGAAAGGGTGCGAGTTCTTAAAGTATCTGCCTTTTAGAACTCTGGCCACTAGAGAATTTGAGTGTTGGTCAAGGCGCCACAATTGTTTTGCCAGTAGGGCGCGATTAAACTTTTCAAAAGATCGAAATCCTAAACCTCCATCTACTTTTGGCAAGCAGAGTTTGTTCCATGCGATCCAGTGCATTCCTTTGGAACTAGAGGCTGAGTTTCACCAAAAATTTGAAATTGCACTGGTTAGCTTTTTACATAGCTCTTTTGGAAATAGGTAGCATGACACTGCAAATGTCGGGATAGCTAAACCTACAGACTTGATCATAATTTCATTCCCGGCTCTTGAGAGAAGTTTTGCCGTCCATCCGTTAATTCTTTGATGAAGACGGTCCCGAATATAAGCAAAGACTTGGGTCTTTGATCCTTGGAGCTGCTCTGGGAGACCCAGGTATTTTCCTGAACCTCCCTCTGTCATGATGCTCAAAATGTTTTTAAAAGTTCCCTACTTTGAGGAGAGACTTTTTTCCTAAAAGTGATGGCTGACTTTTCAAAATTTATTCTTTGGCCAGATGCATTGCCATAGATTCTGAGGATATCTAGGAATGAGTTGCATTCTTTAGGGTCAGCTTTACAGAAGAAAAGGCTATCGTCTGCAAATAGCAGGTGAGAGATCGCAGGACTTGCCTGAGAAACTTTCAAGCCAGAGATATGCCCTGCTAACTCTGCCGCCTGAATATTAGCAATTAGAACTTTCGTACATAGAATGAATAGGTATGGCGATAAAGGGTCTCCTTGTCGTATTCCTCTAGATGGAATAATATGCCGCGTAGGACTTCCATTTACGAGTATACTATAGGAGACTGACCGCACACACCTCATTATCCATGATACCCATTTATTATGAAATCCCATTTTAGTCAACAGAGCTTCCAAGAAGTTCCATTCTACTCTGTCATATGCTTTACTCATGTCCGTCTTAATGGCTAAAAACTCGTTCTTGCTTCTTAGATGAGTGTTCAGAGCGTGGAAAGCTTCTTGAGCTAACAAGATATTGTCTGAGATTAATCTCCCTGCAACAAATGCAGATTGTGTCTCCGATACAATTTTTGGGAGGATAGCTTTTAGCCTTTGGCAGAGTACCTTGGAAATAATTTTGTAGTTGACATTGCATAGGCTAATGGGGCGAAAGTTGGCCATATCTCTAGGACGTTCTGTTTTTGGTACAAGGCAGAGATTTGTCTCGTTTAATTTGGCCTCAAAGATCCCTAAGACAAAGAATTCTTGTACCATCTTGATTACATGAGGTTCAGTAGTCGACCAATACTTTTGGTAAAACAAAGCTGTCATACCATCAGGACCTGGAGTTTTCCTAGGATGTATTGAGAATAAAGCATTTTTTATCTCAAGGGGGGTGAATTCCTTACACAATCTCTCATTCATCTCAGGGGAGATGCGATTTGGTAGATTGTTAAGAGAGACTTCAATATCTGAAGTCGATGAAGATTGGAACATCTTGCAGAAGTAGTCTACCGCAATGGATTTGATTTTTTGCTCAATTTGTGTCCAAACACCTCCAGAATCATTGAGTCCAATGATGCGATTTTATGCTCTTCTTTGCTTAGTTGAGGCATGGAAGAATTTTGTGTTCCTATCTCCATCTTTCAACCAGAGATTCCGGCTTTTTTGTTGCCAAAAAATATCTTCTTCCTTATAAGCTTTTATAAGTTGGTTTTGGATTAATGTGACATCCTCTGTTGATAAATTCTCATCGGATTGATCTTTGTCTAATTTAGACTGAAGGTCTTCTAAGGTTTTAGCAGAGTTTTGTTGATCTTCTCTACGCCAGCGTGATATAGAGGATCAACACTTAGTAATTCGTTCATGGAGAGATACGTTTCTTCCCTCTTCATTTGACATCCATCCCTCTCGAATGATCTCTTCAAAGCCTGGTTTAGAGATCCATCGTTTATCAAAAAGAAAGTTCTTTTTTCCTTTAGTTTTGCATGAAGAGATGTATGTGAGGACCGGACGGTGATCTGATCCCATGAATTTCAGATACTTCGAAGAAGATCTCGAGAATAAATTGAACTAATCCTCATTTCCCATCGCTCGATCCAGTCGACAACGAATGAGATGTTTTTTCCTTCGTCCCACCCATGATAGGCAATCTCCTGTGAAAGGAAGATCAATCATGCCACAATTTTGTTGCATGAGACGAAAGTCAAGGAAAGAGTTTTCACTACGGATACGGCCACCCGATTTTTCATAGTTTCCATTAATCTCGTTAAATCACCAGTCATCAACCATGTATCATATCGAGAAGTGCTAATACGAGATAAAAACTTTATTGTCACCAATCGTAGCTGATACATCGATGACTCTATTATTGGAAAATAAAACTTGAACATTAAACTCAGATAACGCAAACAAAGCAAGACCGCCACTATGGCCAATAGGATCAACAGTAAAAAGAAAATCATAACCAAGATGATACTGCAGGTCTTGGAGGAAGACACGTTCATTCTTGGTCTCCATAAGAAACATAATACCTGAAAAAGTCTTTTGACGGATTTCCCGCAGGTGCCGAATTGCCAAGTAACTACCAGCTCCTTGGCAATTCCAGCTTAGGATCATTATGGCTTAGCAGGTGGTTTCTCCTTAACCACCAGCTCTTTGGGTTCCTCCAAATTTTTCCCCTGAGAGGGGTCCGGCTTCGAGGACGACGGATTTTCAATACACTGAGAGATGATCAAATCTGCATTCACTATTTTTTTAGAGGGTTCTGCGAGAGAAGGTGCGCTCCATTTCTTGGACAGCAGCCCCATCGTGGGACTCCTTGTGATTTTCTTCTTGACTTGGAGGGTCACATTTGAGCGTGGACCAAGACGGCTTTTAATGGATCTGCCTCTTCTTCCACCACGTTCATCAAGAGATTCTGCAATAATTGGAATTTTTAATGCCATCATCTCTTTCATGGGGGAGATTACCTCTTCTAGATCACAGGAGTTTGAGTCCATCACTTGGCTGCATGTGCTCACGGGAGGCTGGAGAGCTCGACCTTTATCTTCGTTCCTTTGGGAGCGCTTGATCGGACTCGGTGATGGGGATCTCTGGTAACGAACTTTTCCAGGGTCTGAGGCAGATTTACCCTTTCCAAGATTTGGATCACGTTACCATGAAGCAGGTTTGAAGGGCTTGTTTTTTCCATCTATGAAGGTCTCTTTATGATCTGAACCTTTGGATGGTGCACCCACGGCTTTTGGCTTATCCTCATCTGCGATCAAAATCTCAGATCCACTACAGCCAGAGAGTTTGTTGTTCTGAGATTGACCAGAGTTTGTTGATTTTCCTCCAAAGGATCTTTCAACCCAGCTTTTGGTAGATTCCCGACTTTGTTTACCTTGCGTCTTTTCTTGATTTCTACGTGGTCGGTCCTCCTTTTCAGCAAAGAGTTCACGACAAACAGAGGGCTTTTGTTTTCCTTGAGCCATATCAGTTTTCCATGTTTCATGTATGGGCCTTCTTCTCCTCTCAAGATAGCTTGTTGCCTCTGGTTCGTGTCCTTGTTCCCGTGTTTTGTCTTGAACGCACACTTTTCTTCTTCCAAGTCGGGGCAATGACAACAGTCGTGAGAAAGTCTCTGACATATGAAGCAGAATTTTTGAAGCTTTTCATATCTGAATGTAACAATCACCTCGTCCCCTGTGTAGAAAATTACACGCCTTTCAAATTGCAGTGGGATTTCACATTCCACTGATACACGAACTCTGGCGGAGGTGGTCTCCCATTCAATCAAATCTCCAAGTTTTTCACTGATACCTTTGACAGTCTCCTCCTTTTGGTAGTGGGGAGGAATGCCATCGATACGTATCCAAAACAGCATTGTCGACAGGAAGTCCGCTCTTACACTGGGAGCCCATCGCTCAAGTGGAAACATCCACTGATCGAAGAAGAAAGGCCTCTTCTCCAGTACTGATTTGAGCTCCTCTTCTGATTGGAATCGGAAATGGAATCTGCCTCTTCCCAAATCTACTCCTTGGACTTGTCCTTCCAGATTCCATGCTTAAGGCATCAGAGCAATCAGTGCCCTCACACGGTGAGCTTCATTTCGCTGTTGAGAACACGACCCACCAGAGTGAGCTCGTAGGATGCCAACAGGTCTGAGTTGTCAAAGGCTAGGATCACAATTGGGTCGAGTTGCAGAGAGGATTTTCCTTTGGCTGAGATAAGGTCAGATTGTCTCGACATGGTGAGATTGGTGCTGATATTTGGAACAGATTTTTGCAGGATGATAACAGGAGATTGATTTGGTGATATCGGTGAGGAGAGAAGAAGATTAGTGGCCAATTTATAGCTACAGGGTATGGAGGCTCCTTCCCAGCTTCAATTTCCTTCATAAATGCCTCTCAAATCTCATGATTTCTGATTATGATTGTGGAGAGATGATCACGTACTGAGTATAATTTTTGGATTACCTCTGCCGTGATTTTTTCTCCTCCTAATTGAATTATTGGATGTAATGGTCGCAGATCTGATTTCAGAAGGAGATAAATCTGCTCCAGAATTGTATATCTGACGTTGAAAGGGGTTTCCTTTTCCAAACATTTCCCATATTTGAAAGCCATTTGGCTTTTATTCCTCCGTGAGAAACCCAAATCTTCAAAGATACCATCAATATTAAGGGAATTGATGAGAGAAAGGTTGGGCTGGATTAGATCATCTTTGAACCAGCTAAAAATCCTCTTTTGTGTCTTTGAAGGAGGCGGAGAATCTGGGTTTAGGTGTTGAAAAGTGCTCGAAGATTCCGAGGTGTGAGTGAAAGGACGCACGTTACGGCGGAGTGTTTGAAAAGTTCTTGAAATGAAATGTGGCATCCGTTATCGAAGGCTCCCTAGAGAGAACATCGAATACACAGTCTCACCCTGACTTCAGAAATCGGGTTTTGAACATTATAACTTTATGTAAACATTTAAAATTTAAAGAGTATTCGTTATTATTGTGATCTGTATCGTTAATAGACTCATAAATTTTGATAGTTGAATAATGTACTTTTGAAAAAATTCATCACTTTGTCAATCGTGATCATTATCGTTATGTGCATCAATATTTGCTGTGTAAATACTGCAGATTTTTAAGTTACAGTTTGTTTCAGTGTGTATTGTTCAAACATCATTATGGTTTTGTACTCACTTTCCTTTATGGTTTAATAAAAATATCAATTCTCGACAATCAGGACAACCATTTATGAAAAAAAAAAAGAATATCAATTCTAAAGCATAAATAAACTAAAATGTCATTAAAATAAACCATCTAATTAGTAAAATATTAAACCAAAACAAATAAAATATACTATTGTTTCCTTACATTCTGGAAGAAGACCTTGTATACAACGTTTAAAGTATTGGTTTGTGACTTATCCATATTATCCGTTATCAGAATCTTTAAACCAGCTATCGAAGTAACACGTAACATAGCCACATAAAATTGTCTATGGGAAAATATGAGTTGTGGTAAATACAATCCAACCTTTTGCAAAGTCTAACATTGGCTCTTATTAATAGTCATTGCATAGGTGATGGCTACATGGAATTGTCTACGCCTCATTCTAAAAAGAAATATTGTCTCGGTGGGGAAAACAAACATTTATGAGATCATGACTTTTTGACAATTATACTCACAAGTTATGCACAAGACGCGCATATAAAGGGTTAAAAACATACAACATAATTTAATGTTATAAACTGGTCTACAAAAAAATTAAAACAACTATTTAAAACATACATGATAAATAAAACAAATTCAAAAAATAAACACTATCCAAAATTAAAGACCTAAATGATTACCAAATAAGTGTATGAAATTCACAAAACCAATGGAATTAAGAAAAAAGTGAGTGAGAGTTATTCGTCTCCACATAATCGCTTTTCATCATTTTCTTTTTTTCTTCTTATTTATCTTTTCGTTTTTCTTCTTTATCGTATTTTTCTTATCTTTCTTCATAGTCTTCCACCTTTATCTCTTCTTATCTCCTACGTATTCTTAGTTTCCTTTTATTTTCTTTTATTTCTTCTTCATTTTATATGTTTTTCTTAATTTTTAATTCTTTTGGTTTTTTTTATCACGTCTTCTTCTTCTTCGTGTTTTCCACATCTTATCATAATCTTCTTCTTCTTCTACTTCTTCTTTGATAACACCGTATTTTGACCACTTTTATGGATTGTTTTGAAATATTTTTTCTATGTTTTTAATTGCTTTTAAGTACTTTTATTACGTTTTTCTAGTATTTGTAGTTCCAAGACTCTTTTCAGGAAACTTAGGGAAAAGCTTAACAAAATGGATAGAAGACCAGATTTCAGCTCACAGTCAAACCGTCAGAAGTTCACCCCCGATTGAAGGCCTTCTCACCGTCTGATCCAGCTCAAATTTGGAGATCTTAAAGATGGAAGTACCAGCTTTCCTGCACACTTTACAGCTTAGCAATCCAACGTTTCAATCAAAAGATACGCGAAGAGCAAGATGTCCCGTAAACCAGCCGGCAAGCGTTTCCACCCACGGCCAACAGGCTATTCCCCGCGGTCACAACCACCGTGACCGCGGCCAGCCACCCATTCCCCGCGGTCACAACCATTCCGACCGCGGCCAGCTAACTCTGACTCCGAAGGCCCATTTCTGAAGCCCATATCATTTTCTCAGCCTTGATTCCAGAACCCTAGACCCTAGACATGTCTTGAGAACTATAAATACATGTTTTAGGAACCCTAATTCGTATCATCTCATATGCTCTTATTGTTTTAGAATACTTTTTAAGTTTTAGGTTTTAGGGAGAGAGAGATTTGTCTCTTGAACCCTTGTTCTTTCTTTTTCAATTTCGGTTTCTATTCTACTTTTTAATACTATGTTTTTGATTTCGTTCATCATGTCTGAGTAGTTTTATTGTTGGTATTAAGGGATTTTCGATGGGGATATATATGTTCGGTGAGGATTCCATTGGCTATTGAGCCGAATCTTAGAACTTTTTCTTCTGAATTCGTTTCTACTGCATGAGAGTAGCGTCATGAACTACAATCTGATCCAGATGCTTGGTGACACGAAAGTGTTCATCCGGTGTCAGATCTAGTTTGGGAGAGCAAAACAAACATAGGAGTGGAAACCTGCCTATGGGCGATTTGTGAATGCTGACGAGTCTTAAACATAATGCATCTCTTCTTTTCCAGGGCCAGAGTGGAAACCTACTGGTCAGGGTTGAGAGAGATAGTTGTCTATGATCACGACAATGGCGTATTCATACGTTCGTGACTCCAGTTCGAAAAGTTTAAGCTAAGATCTTATCAAATTTACTCTCTAGCAATGTTTTGAATCGTTCGTACCCCTGAGAAAACTTCACTGAACCCCAACGCCTCTTTTCTTATAGATTTACACCGATTTTCATTCAAGCTTTAATCTAGTTTCTTTACTCTTTCAATCGATTTTCACTTAGCAATTAGGTCTAGCCTTTTTTCTCGTTTTTACCCTTTTTCGTTAAGTTTAGTTATTAGGTCATTTTAATTCCCGTAGTTTCTCTTTAAAATTAGTTTTACGTTTTAAACACACCACCAAAACCCTCACAAAACTCGCCTGGTTCTAAACTTCCTTACTTTATATTTCTTTCGAAAGCTTTTGCAGGAAAGATTCTCCTTCCCTGTGGATTTGATCCCTAAGTACTACAATCGATCAGCTGTGCACTTGCGGCTATTGATTTCATTTAGGGTAAAACTTGACACCCTCACGACACACCGCATCATTCTTCTTCTTCTTCTTTATCGCCTTTGTGTTCTTTGTTCTCTGTGACTTTATATTCTTTTTGTTTCCCTATCATTCTCTATCTCTCCCTCCCTTTGTTTCAGTATTTCTCTCTCACTCTCTCCCTTCCTCCCTCGTCCTAAGTTGAATATCATACGATTTAGACAACTACATTTAAAGTAAAACGTGTTTCGAATATAGAAAAATAAGAACACATAACAGATGAACTAACATAGATTTAATGTTATGTACTTGAAATGTTTAACTCTCTCTTTCCCATTTCTCTTACTCTCTCTCTCTCTCTCTATTCTCTCACTCACTGTTTCTCTTTCTCCATCAACATGTCCCTGAAAGCATTAACTCAATTTCTCTATCTCTTTCTCCAAATTCATCATCCTCTTCCCATTCTTATTTTCAACATTTTCGTCTTGTCATAACTTTTGTCATTATGATTTCCTTTTCTTTTTTTAGTCTTCTTCTTCGTCTTTTTGCTTCTTTATCATCGACTCAAATTTTCTTATTCTTTATGTTGTTTTTCTCTTCTTCATCGTCTTCAACTTCTATTTCAATTCCCTCTTCAGATTTGTCTCCTTTTTCTTGCTCTTCTATTTTGTTCTACTCTTCTTTTTACTCTTTATCTTTTGGTTTAGTTTTTCTTTGTATTCTCCTTATTCTTTTTTTCCTTTGGTTTTTATTCGTTTTCTTCTTCATTCTCTAATTTAAAAGCCTTTGTTTCTTTTTCTGACTCAGATTCTTCATCTTCTTCTACCTCATATTTTGCTTCTTCTTCTTCATCGTCTTTGACTTCTATTTTTTTTCCTTCTTCATATCTTCATCATCGTCTTTGACTTCTTCTTTATCATCCCTGTATTCTCTAAGTTCTTCTTCTTCTTCTTCTTTGATTTTATTGCCTTCTTTATTCTTTACTTCTCATTCCTCTTTGGTCTTCGTCAAACTTATTTTCTTCTGGTTTTTCTTCATCTTTTTTTTCATCTTCACCTACTTTATTTTTCCATTTCTTCTTCTTTTACTTTGTTTCTTCATCTTTCATTTTTTTCCTCTGGTTTTATCTTCAACTCCAACTTCCTTTCTTCTTTACTATTT